TTTTTAGAGAGATTATACATGGTTTACACAAAGGAGAAGGTGCTTATGAGCCAAAATAAGTATGTTTATTGCCTGCAGTTACAGCAGAGTGTGGCAGTGCAGTACTGCGCATGGGCAGAAAGATACACTTTAAATCTAAAGCTAGTATTATAGTTGGAAGTAATAGCTGGTGTTTCTCTGAAAATAATCTCAACAATCTTAACCTAGATATGTGAGTGCTTTAGTACTCCTGCTCGAGCATCTTATTAATGATGTGGGCAGAGCTAATATATTCATATATTACATGTTGGCCTTTGATCAGTTCCCCATCAGGTCTGCTCTGATGGCCGTTAGGAAGAGCCATTTGTGCCTGTGTATAATATATACAGACAGGGAAAGGCTCCTGCCAGATTTGATGGGCAATCAGTTCCCCATCAGATTCGCTCTGACAGCTGGTGGGAGGAACCATATCTGCCTTTGTATATTTTGTTTGGTCAATCAAGTTATACACAGGCAAAAATGGTCCGCCAACTGTCAAACAGTGCCTCTCATTGGCAGTTGGAGCACGCCTGATCGGGAACTACAACATCCTAAACCTTGCTAGCTCCGCCCCCCGTGCTTATATATCAGCCCCAAATAAATTAGGTACATTTCATAAGCCATGCATGTGTAAAGTGCCTGGCCCCTCCACATTACCGACTTATTCATTCAGGGCCGACATGCCATATTTAAAGCATAGCATGAGCTTGATAGCCACATACCTAGTATTATCAGAAAGAGGGCAGTTATGGCAGGTCACATCTCTATAATGAGTTTCATCCCACAGACAAAATGCATTTTCACCCCACCTATCAAACAGAAGAAATCTTCCCACCAACCAAAAGACATTTCCACCCCACCAACCAAACGAAGGAAAACTCTAACCCATCTACCAGACATAAGACACATTCACCCCACCCATAAATCAAAAAATAATTCAGCTCCACCAACCAAACAGAAGACAGTTCCAACCCACCCACCAAACAAAAGACATTTCCACCCTATCAATCACATAAAAGAGAAAGCTCTACACCACTTACTAAACAAAAGACATTTTCACCCCACCCACCAAACTAAATATGTTTTAACGCCACCAACAAAACAGAAAACAGAGCCACCCCACCCACCAAATAAAATAAATTCCCACCCCCCACCAACTAAATAG